ACTAGGTAATAAAAATGTACTAAGTTGTAACTTTCTTAGCACTTTTATTCTGCAAGAACCACATACTGCAATCTATCAAATGTACTTTCCAAGGATGAGAATTAAAGAACTGTGGACTGCCAAGCCAAATGCAATTGATTGATTCCAATGGGACATGGTCAGTCCAGTCCTTCCCTCCCTTCCTTTTGCTGAAAGGGCATCTTGACTTTGTGCTGATTATCCTTGGATGCTTAAGTGACATTCACTGCAGGTGTAACAAATGCATTGCCTCTCTCTGGTCACGTGTTTGGGTTCATTTCAGCACTATGCCTTGAGTGATAGTTTTACATTTTCAGTGAGGGATCAAGTTTTCAGCACACATTGAGAATGTATTCTGGTGTCAAGTAGAAAAGATTTTTTCTAGTTCAGTAGAAATGCTGCCTGACAGACATTTATTTTCAAGTGACTTAAAATCAGAATGAAGGAAACCTACTCTTTGACTTCAGGCAATGATTTGTGTGGTGTGGGGAGGTGAATTCAGTGAGAACTAAAAGGCTGATCAATTTGAAGAACTAAATAACACAACAAGGAACATGGCATATCAGGAACATTTACTTATCTTGGTAATTTTTTCTTTCTCTATTGCGGTAGTTTTTAGCAAGACATGAGCCTAGCAGAAAGTCCCCATCGTATACAGATTTCAAAGCTTCCTTTGGCAGTGTGGTAGTTTTAAATACCCTTCCTTGAATTTTGTCTTAATTTATATGTTTTGTATGATTTTCATATTGTTTATCAGCTGTGTTTTAAACTACATTTGGACTTTAAGAAGCCAAGAATCCCCTATTCATGGTATATGTATGGTGCAAATACCATACATTTGAAAAAATATTGTAGATATTTGCAACTCTTTTTATGCATCTTCTCCTGCTTAAATTTTTTAAACTGTTAAATATTTCAAAGTTGTTGCTCAGACTTCAGAATATTTTGGGCAAAGAAGCCTACCCAGTAAAAGAGATGGCCCCAGAGATAAGTTGATACATTTGAAGACTGAAAACATCTGCACAAATGCCTCTGCTAGGCATGGAAGACATGCATGTATAGGTCTAGCAGGGTGAATCAGTGGAGGATGCTCTTTTTCAAGCGCAGTAAGGAGTTCTTCCTCATACTAAAAATCAGTATCTTCCTCTCTAGGCTCTACTTGTTTATTTATTTATTTATGTAGTTTAGCTTATTTCTATAGCTTGAACATCGTTTATCTTTTGTGCAGTGAACCGTTTCCTGGGTCTTGTGTAATCGTCCACTTCTCTGGTGCTTTAAGCAAGCAGTTACTGGCAGGAAAGACAAAGGTCGATTTGATAGCCATGGATGGCCGCTTTGCATAAATGTTAATGGCTCTGCTAAGAATAAAGCAAAAAGCTCCCCTGTTTTCCCTTCCCTGATTGATAGAGCTCTTCTCATAGAGTCAGAGAAAAAAACCTTTCATGACAGGACTTGAAATTTTCTATCTAGAAAGCAACTGATTTTCATCTCAAAATATTCCAGTTCTGTTGTGCAGCAGGCTTGTTTGTGGCTCTTACTTCATTTCAGATTCATCTTCCTTCGTTTTATTAAGATTTTGATGTCTTTTTGAG